TCGGATATCGCTGCCCTTCGTGGCCCCGATGCAACCCTTCGTGGCCCCCCCGCTCCCCTTCATGGACCCGTCGCGCCCTTCGTGGACCCGTTGCAGCCCGTCGTGGACCCCTCGCTGCCCTTCGCGGCCCCGTTGCAGCCCTTCGTGCCCTCCTCGTTGCCCTTCGTGGCCCCGTTGCAGCCCTTCGTGGCCCCCTCGCTGCTCTTCGTGCAGCCCTTCGTGGCCCCCTCGCTGCCTTTCGTGGCCCCATAGATGTATGACGTTCGTAGCCCCCGCTTGTTCGCGCCCGTCGTGGCCCCATACGCATGCCCTTCGTGGTCCCCTCGCTGCCCTTCGTGGCCCCATTGCTGCCCTCAGCGGCCACGTCCTTGCCCTCTGCGGCCCAATATGCCCGTGCCCTTCGTGGCCCTTGCTCGTTCGCGCCTGTCGTGGCCCCATATGCATGCCCTTCGTGGCCCCGCTGCCGCCCTTTGTGGACCCCTCGCTGTCCTACGTGGCCCCGTTGCTACCCTCAGTGGCCCCGTCGTTGCCCTCTGTGGCCCCGCGCTATATGCCTTTCGTAGCCCCCGCTCGTTCGCGCTCTCCGTGGCCCCATGCTCATGCCCTTCGTGGCCCCGTTGTCGCCCTTCGTGGCCCCCTTCCTGCCCTTCGTGGCCCCGCTGTCGCTTTCGGTCTCGGTCTCGCTTTCGCTTTCGTTCGTCGTCGCCGTCGCCGTCGCCCTCGTCGTCGTCGTCGTCGTCGTCGTCGTCGTCGTCGTCGTCGTCGTCGTGGTCGGTCCCATGTCCGTCCCTGTCGGGGTCGGGTTGCCGCCGATCAGCGCTGCCGCTGGCCAGGCCGACGGTCCGCGGCCGCCCCGCCGCTTGCCGGGGCCCGGCCTGCAGGGAAGAAAGGTATACCCCCCAAGTGGGGCACGGTGGAAGCCGAAGAGGGCGGGTATCGAGGGTCTGGGAAATACAAATGGAATGGCTTTCGGGCAGATAGGGGCGAACAGTCTTGAAGTGATGGTTGAACTTTCATTTCTGAAGAATAATCATTGTTGGTCCCCCCCCCACCAGTGCATACTGGTTTTTCTCAATCAAAGTGTACCCCTCGACGCTCGCACCGTGTTTTTTGACAGGGAAAGTCTTCCTGCTCAAACTGGCCCCATGGCCCCCGGGTTACAACAACAACGGCTCCCGCCTGAGACGTCCTTACAATTTAGCCAGGACCCCCGCTCCCGCCCGAGACTTCCTCGCATGTTATTCGGGAATCGCGCTCTCGCTTGGGACTTCCTTACAATGTATTCAGGAATCGCTTTCCCGGCGCTCTGGAGTCGCGCTCTCGCTGGAGGCTTGCTTGCAACTTACTGAAGAATGTCCTTGCGTTGGAATTTCCTGCAATTTGCCCAAGCGCCGCGCTCCCGACACCCAGGCACCCAGGAGTCGCGCCCGTTGTGGCCCCATAGGCATGCCCTTCGTGGCCCCGGGGCCCCGCTGTCGCCATTTGTGCCCCCCTCACTGTCCTACGTGGCCCAGTTGCTACCCTCAGTGGCCCCATAGTTGCCTTCTGCGGCCCCGCATTATCTGCACTTCGTGGCCCCCGCTCGTTCGCGCTCTTCGTGGCCCCATACTGTCCCCGCTGTCCCCGCTGTCGCCCTTCGTGGCCTACTTCGTGCTCTTCGTGGCCCTGCTGTCGTTTTCTCTCGCTCTCGCTTTCGCTCGTCGTCGCCGTCGTCGCCGTCGTCTTCGACGTCGTCGTCGTCGTCGTCGTCGTCGTCGTCGTCGTCGTCGTCGTCGTCGTCGTCGTGGTCGGTCCCCTGTCCGTCCCTCTTGGGGTCGGGTCGACGGTCCGCGGCCGCCCCGCCGATCAGCGCTGCCGCTGGCCAGGCCGACGGTCCGCGGCCGCCCCACCGCTTGCCGGGGCCCGGCCTGCAGGGAAGAAAGGTATACCCCCCAAAAGGGGTTCGATCGAAGACGAAGAGGGCGGGTATCGAGGGTTTGGGAAATACGCGTTATTGGGCACTCGAGCATATAAGGGCGAACAGTCTTAAGATTATTGTGGTTGTTGTTGATGTTGCTGTTGTTGTTGGTGGTGTTGCTGTTTTTGTTGTTGCTGCTGTTGTTGTTGTTGTTGCTGTTGTTGTTGGTGCTGCTGCTGTTGTGATCGTCGTCGTCGTCGTTATTGTTGTTGTCGTTGTTGCTGGGTTCTCATTTCTCCAAAAATAATTGTTGTTGATGGCCCCTCCTGTAACCATTGCGCTGGTCAATTAAAGTGCTTCCCCTCGGGGTTCGCACCCTGTTTGTTTTTCCAAGGTGAAGCGAGGGGTCACCAAATTGCGTTGTTGGGCCCTCAGCTACAACAACAATAACAACGGCTCCTGCCTGATATTTCTTCACAGTCTATTCCAAAATCGCGCTTTCGCGTGGGACTTCCTCACAGTGTATACAGGAATCGCGCTCTCGCGTGGGACCCCCTCGTAATTTATTCATACGCCGCTCCCTCGACACCTAGGAATCACGCTCTTGCTCGGGACCGTTTCACGATTTAGTCGGGAATCGCGCTATCGCTCGAGTTCTCCTAGCAGTTCATGCGGTATTCACGCTTCCACAATGCGCTTTCTCGACCTGGCCGCTGGGGCCCGCCTTCCCGACCTTCCAATTGGGGCCTGCCCGCCCAATGGGCCCGTCTGGTTATGCCACGTGTTTTCTGCTCCTAGCCCCCCTCCTGCGAATCCCGTGCTCCATCCTTCTCCCTCCCCGTTCCATCCGTCTCTCTCTCTCTCTCTTGTTTCGGGCGCACTGGACCACCCAAGGGGGGAGGCAGCCCACTGGAGAAGATTCTGGAGGGGGGGAGGGGGCCGCAGGAACTCGGAACTCTGGTTTCCGCGAAAGATGCCAGAGGGCATCAGTGCCGGGGGTGGCACTACGCTGAAGACGCCGTGCAGACCAAAAGGGCCCACGTGGAGAGGGCTGAGAGAAAAGTAGTAATCTGTCAAACAAGTTGAGCAAGGCAATGGATGCTCTGGCTCGAGGACTCCTGAAGGCCTCGCCTTGAGGAGAAGGAGGGGCCCGTACACGCGCTGCTGCTGCTAAACTGCTGCTGATCTCTCCTGTGCGCCTCCCTCCTCCTGCTGCTGGCCACAGGAGTCAGAGGAGGATTACAGTGGAGGTGTTCGTTAAGGAATGTGCCCAGGACGCTTCAGACCCTGAAGGGTTCCCTATCTGATGAGCGCGGAGGCGATATCCACGGCCACCCCACGATGGGAGCTCCACACGCTTCCAGACCCCGGATTCCTCATCCAATGGTTCCTTATCCAATGCCTTCACCGTAGCAAGGCCACGGAAGCCAGGGGTGCTGGGCTTGCTTTCCACCTCCTCCTCCTCCTCCTCCTCCTCCTCCTCCTCCTCCTCCGCTTCGTCCTCCTCCTCCACCTCCCCGCTTCTGTCCTCCTCCTCCTCCTCCTCCTCCCCTCCTCTCTCCTCCTCCTCCTCCTCTCCTCCTCCTCCGCCTCCGCCCCCTCCTCCTCTCCTCCTCCTCCTCCTCCTCCTCCTCCTCCTCCTCCTCCTCCTCCTCCTCCTCCTCCTCCTCCTCCTCCTCCTCTTCGTCCTCCTCCTCCTCCCCGCCCTCCTTCCCCCCCTCCAACCTATGGTGGTGGTGGAGAACAGGCCCCTCAAGGGGGGTGGGGATCCGCGAGGTACGACGGGAAGCTGAGGGAGGCCGAGCGCGACGGGATCAGGGCGGGCCAGAGCGAGGCCCTGGCGTCCAGCGTGACGGCGGTCACCTTCAACGCCGTGTTCGCGATCGGGCTGGAGGTCGTCGTCGTCGTCGTCGTCGTCGCCATCGTCGTCGCCGTCGTCGTCGCTGTCGTCGTCGCTGTCGCCGTCGTCGTCGTCGTCGTCGTCGTCGTCATCGGCGTCGTCGTCGAGGTCGTCGGCGTCGTCATCGTCGTCGTCGTCGCCGTCGTCGTCGGCGTCGTCGTCGTCGCTGTCGCCGTCGTCGTCGTCATCGTTATCGTCGTCGGCGAGTTCGTCGTCGGCGTCGGCGGCGGCGTCGACGTCGAGGTCGTCGACGTCGTCGTCGAGGTTGTCGCCCAGGTTGTCGTCGTCGTCGTCGAGGTCATCGTCGCCGTTGTCGTCGAGCTCGTCGAGGCTGTCGTCGTCGTCGTCGAGCTGAATTCGAGGTCGTCGTCGATATCCTCGTCGATGCTGTCGTCGCCGTCGTCGTCGGCGTCGGCGTCGGCGTCGGCGTCGGCGTCGTCATTGTCGTCGTCCAGGTCGAGGTCAAGGTCGTCGCCGTCTTCGTCGAGGTCGTCGATGTCGTCTTCGTCGTCGTCGCGTCGGCGAGGTCGAGGTCGTCGCCGTCGTCGTCAAGGTTGTCGTCGAGGTCATCATCGTTGTTGTCTTTGTTGTCGTCGAGGTCGTCGAGGTCGTCGAGGCCGTCGTCGTCAGCGTCGGCGTCGGCGTCGTCGTCGTCGTCCAGGTTGCGGTGGAGGTCGTCGCCGCCGTCGTCGAGTTTGTCGTCGAGTTTGTCGTCGAGTTTGCCGTCGATGTCGTCGTGGTCGGCGTCGGCGTCGGCGCCGGCGCCCCCATCGTCGGCGGCGGCGGCGGCGGCGGGGACGTCGTCGTCGCCGCCCCTCTCGGGTCATCCTCGGGCTCCCTCGCGGGCACGGCTGCTTCTCCGGGCGTTCTCGCCAGTGCGCCTTCCAGCAGCATGCCGAGGAGCCGATAGTCGGGGCGAAGGGGGGAAGGAGGGCCCCCATCGGGTCAGTCGGCGGCGTATCTGGGACACTGAGATCCGGCGGTGCGACACAAGTGCAGCATCGCGAAAAATCACGACAGGAGCCCAACACAGTCCAGCTTTCTGCGGCCTCTCTCGAGCCGTGATGGCCCCCGAGGGCCGAAACCTACAGCGAAAACGCGCGGTGTGGAAAAGACTGGCGACGCCCGGATCTCAGGGTCCCCCCCCCCCCCGAGCCTGGTTTTCGGGCCGCAGCTCGGGGCAGCCAGTGGCGCGCTGGGGAGGTGGGCTCCATCTTCATGCTCCAGTCCTACGACAACGAGTGCTGGGACGCGCGCACCGGGTCCGTCGAGGGCTGCTTCAACGGCAGCGTCATGCTGTCGTGCCTTTTTGCGGTCCTCACCGGGGGCTTCGCGATGGCCCCCGCTTTCCAGCAGCTCGGGGTGCTGAACAGGTGAGCGGTGCAGAACAGCGGAGTCGCCCACACAGACATTGGCGCGCCAGGCTGCCACCGCAAAAGGTCGCTCGTGAGCGCCGTCGTTGCCAATGTGGCGTGCCGCGGTGGCGGCCCTCGTAAGCCACCGCGTGAGGTCGCGCGTGAGACCCCTTCGTTTTCGTCGCGCAGGTCGAGGGTCGCGGCGAGCCGCATGTACGCCATCATCGACGACCCCCCCGCGTTCGACTCCGGGTGCGGCAGCACGCTGGAGACACTACGCGGAGAGGCGCCGGCTGAGAAGACTCGTGAGCCACCCCATTGCCGGAGTCACCTTTGGCGCGCCTTGACTTCGGATCCGCCGTAGTCTGTGTCGGGCGAGACATTCCACCCTACGTTCCCCTGATGCAGATTTCCGCCCTGCTTCACCGTTGCTGTTTCCGCCATTCTTGTGCGCAGGGATCCGCCCTGCTTCTTTACTGAGGCGGAAGTGTCCTTTGGGGTGCCTTTCCGACACAGCCTGAAGTCGGAACATCGGGCAAGGCACGGCGGATCCGACAGGGGTTCCCTCAGCACTGGCCTGTGCGCTTGGATTGGGCCTCCCCGCGGCCCCCTGAAGCCGCGCACCAAAGGTCCCTCTCCCTGGGCTCCGACGTGGCGAATAAATATATATATATATATATATATATATATATATATATATGCAAAACCGCGAAAACATCGCAGCCAGAGCCGTAGAACCAGTTTTTCTGCGACCTCTTCCGAGCCGGACCGATGTGTGATGGTCCGGGTGTCCGAAACCGAGCAGAAACGCCCGGCGTGAAAAGAGTACGGCGCCCGGATCTTAGGGCTGCTTGGAGCCACTCGTGCGTGCGGCCGAGAGGTGGAGTTCCAGGGCGTGCACTTCGCCTACCCCACGCGCCCGGAGACGGCCGCCCTGAACGCCGTCTCTTTCAAGGTGATGGGCCAATTTCCCACCACCGCTATCATATGCAGGACGGGGGGAGAAGGGAGGATGGGCAGGTCCTCCTCCTCCTCCTCCCCCTCCTCCTCCTCCTCCTCCTCCTCCTCCTCCTCCGCCCTCCTCCTCCTCCTCCTCCTCCTCCTCCTCCTCCTCCTCCTCCTCCTCCTCCTCCTCCTCCCTCCCCCTCCTCCTCCCTCTTCCTCCTCCTCCTCCACCTTTCTCCTCCTCCTCCTCCTCCTCCTCCTCCTCCTCCTCTACTCCTTCCCCCTCCTCCTCCTCCTCCTCCTCCTCCTCCTCCTCCTCCTCCTCCTCCTCCTCCTCCTCCTCCTCCTCCTCCTCCTGCCTGTCGCTGCGGCGGTGGAAGATCGGCCCACCGCGAGGTGCCCGCGGGCTCCACGGCGGCCTTCGTCGGGCCGAGCGGCTCCGGCAAGAGCACGTCCATCGCGCTGCTGATGCGCTACTACGACGCGGCGTCGGGAGACGTGCTGCTCGACGGGCGCGACATCAGGCCTCGGAGCCGGCTGGGGGGCTGAGTTTCACCACCCACCAAACCACCCCAACCCAACCCGAAGCCCTCAATGTGCCCTCTATTTCCAGTGGGGGGGGGGTCGGGGAACGTTGAAAAATCACATGGACCCCCCAACCCGAAATTGGGGTCAAATTTGGGCCTTCCCGGCTGGAAAAAAGAAGAAGAAAAAAACGCCACCGAAAAGCAACAAATATGACAGCGAGCAGGGGAGCAGAGCTGACAGCACCCGAAGGTCTTCCCAGGCGGCCCCCCACCCCAGTACTAACCGGGCCCTGCGCCGCTTAACTTCGGAGGTCAGAAGAGATCCGGTGCATTCGGCGCGGTATGGGTCTGAGTTGGCCCAGCACTACCCGTCGATCGTCGAAAGTAGGTATGTCTGGACTCCCAGAACCCAATCTACCTCAAGCGCCTGCCTGCTTCAAGCGTCGATCTGCTTTTGCTGCGTTCTGTTGCTCTCTGGGCGGGCCCGAACCCAATCCACTTCATCCGCCCTCCTGCTTCATGTCGCTACCTACTCCTTTCGACCGAGGGGTATGCCTTTCTGGCCAAGCCTTGAGGGCGCATGCACCGCTTCTGGGCCCCACGATGGGGCCTGGCCAGAGGCAGGGGATATGTTTTCATCTCGTCGCCCTGTGGCTCCGGCCAGGAAGGAGGAGGAAGGACGCTTCTCGTCGCCCAGCTAGGCAGTTGCGATCCCAGGAGGGGTCCGGGGACCGTTTTCGCGAGGCTTTGCCTTCCCTCCCCCCTCGCGACATGCTCTCTGGACTTCTCCGGTCCGGACTGCCTGGCTGCCTCCAAACCAGGTCCCTGAACCTCGGCTGGGTGCGGCTGCAGATGGCGCTCGTGCAGCAGGAGCCCGTGCTCTTCACCGGGACCATCCTCTCCAACATCCTGCACGGCCGCGCCGAGGCCATGTCAGGGGCGAGGTTACTGGAGGAGGACGATTGATAAATGACCGGGGGTCGTGTTCACGCGGCGGCGCCCGGGATGACGATTAAAAAAAACCAGCCGCGGGCTGGAAAACTATGTTTTAAGTCGTTCTCCTCCAGTCAGAAACTTGTGCAGAAAGAGCAGAAAACTATTTTTTAATCGTTCTCTCCCATTTCTTCTTTTGTGAATCGTCATCCCGCACTATGGGGGCACAGGTGCAGCGTGGGACGCGTCGGCTCCCGGTCGCCCACGGATCGCCGCCAGGGGCCCGGTGGCCCACCACTCCCAAGACCGTGTGCGGGGTCGCCGTGGTGGGCACATCGTCGAGGCATCGGCAAGTCATCTCCGATGGCAGGTCGATGCGTCCCCCCCTCCCCCCTGTGCCGGAGGAAGAGGAGGAGGAGGAGGAGGAGGAGGAGGAGGAGGAGGAGGATAGGAGGAGGAGCGAGGAGCGAGGAGCGAGGAGCGAGAGCGAGGAGGAGGAGGAGGAGGAGGAGGAGGAGGAGGAGGAGGTCAGCCGCGCAGAGGGGTGTATGGGGGAGGGAGAAGGCCTCTTGGAGGTACCCATCCCTGTGCCGGTCCCCGCCTGGTGGTGTTTGGGTCACGGCTCGAGCCTCTGGCGGTCTTGCGGGGCGAACCCGAGGCACTGCTCCATGGAACGCCCTCGGCGGGGCGCGGCCGCCGGAGGGCATCCCGAGGCCGGGCCGCCGCCGAGGGCCCAGGCGAAGGCCCTCGAGCCTCGAGACTTTCCTCCTCCTCCTTCCTCCTCCTCCTCCTCCTCCTCCTCCTCCTCCTCTCCTCCTCCACCTCCCCTCCTCCTCCCCTCCTCCTCCTCCTCCCCCTCCTCCAACTTCCAACCTCGAACCTCCTCCCCCTCCAAGTTCGAGCCTCGAGACTTTCCCACCCCCCCCCTCCTCCTCCTCCCCTCCTCCTCTCCTCCTCCTCCTCCTCCTCCTCCTCCCCCACCTCTCCTCCTCCTCCTCCTCCTCCTCCTCCTCCTCCTCTCCTCCTCCTCCTCCTCCTCCTCCTCCTCCTCCTCCTCCTCCTCCTCCTCCTCCTCCTCCCCCTCACCCCTCCTCCTCACTTCGTCCTGCCCCTGTCGTCGAAAGCGCGCCAGTGGATCTCCCTGAATGCACTGAAGGGAGGGGGGAGGGGGGGGGGTCCCCGACGACGGATCGATGAAAGGGTGGGGGGGTCCCCCCCCCCCCCTTGGGGAGATCCAGCGGCGCGCCCTCCCTATCGTCGCCCCTCAGGCCAGCCGGGAGGACGCGGTGAGGGCCGCGCGCGTGGCCAACGCCGACGGCTTCGTCAGCGCCCTGGAGCTCGGGCGAAGAGCGCGGTGCACGTGCGCCGATCCCGTGGCCAGGCCCAGCCTGGGCCCAGGGTTTAGGGTTTAGGGTCTACTAGGCGTGGCCACGCGTACACCTGGACCGCGAACCCACCTGCGGTGGCCGTCATTCCCACCCGCACGCCACCCCACCATAAAGATCATCTCTCCCCTCGGTAGAACCACAGCGAGTGCAACGTCGACGACGACGACGACGACGACGGCGGCGACGACGGATGGACGATCCAGTTGGCACGCGAGTGCTCTAACGGGCTCAAGATTCTGCACGCATGCGCAGGAAGCGCTAGGTTGTCCAGGAGATGGAGGCGGTGTACAGAAGGGGGTCGCATTTTGTATGGTAAAATACAGAAGATTCTGCACGCATGCTCAGGATGGAGCATGCTCAGGATCAGGAACTGCTATTTGTTGCAGTAGATGGAGCGGGTTTACATAACGGGGTTGCAATGAGCACTTTGTGTTGTAAAAAATATGAAATTCTGCACGCGTGCGCGGGAAATGCTATTTTTGCCATAGATGGAGGGGGGTCGCGACGGGGGCTGGGCACTTTGTGCTGCAATATATAAGAGATTCTGCACGCATGCTAAGGACATGTTATTTTTTGCCGCAGATGGAGGCGGATTGCATAACGACCTCTTTTGAATAATTTAGGGTCTAATAATTATAGGATTAGGGTCTACCAGGCGTGGCCACGAGTACACTTGGACCGCGAACCCACTTGCGGTGGCCGTCACTCCCACCCGCAAGCCACCCCACCATAAAGATCATCTCTCCCTTGGTGAGAACCACATCGAAGGCAACGTCGACGACGACGACGACGACGGCGACGACTGATGTGCGATCCAGTTCGCACGCGAGTAGTACATGGAGCGGGGTCGCAACGGAGGCCGGGCTGTTTGTAGTGCACAAGGCAGGAGATTCGGCAGGTATGCTCAGAGAATGCAAGTTTTGGATGGAGCGGGGTCGCAACGGAGGCGGGGCACTTTGTAGTGTAAAATACACGAGATTCTGCACGCATGCTCACAAAGTGTTATTTTTTTGCAATAGATGGGGCCGGGTCGCAAAGTGGGTCTGGCTTTTTTGTGCTGTAAAATACAGGAGATTCTGCACGCATGCTCAGGAAATGCTATTTGTTGCAGTGGATGGGGCCGGGTCGCAAAGTGGGTCGGGCTTTTTTGTGCTATAAAATATAGGAAATTCTGCACGCATGCTCAGAAAATGTTTTTTTTTGCAGTAAATGGACGGGGGGTCGCAACGGGGGCTGGGCACTTTGTAATGTAAAAGACAGAAGATTCTGCACGCATGCTCAGGAAATGCTGTTTTTTGCAGTAGATGGAGCCGGTTTGCATACGGGCTTGTTTTATGGTAAATAGGGTTTAATAATTATAGGATTAGAGACTTAGGATTTAGGGTTTAGGGTCTAAGGCTTGGCCACGATTACAACTTGGCCACGAAACCACTTGCGGTGGCCGTCAATCCCACCCACAAGCCACCCCACAATAAAGATCACCTCTCCTCTCCTTGCAAGAAGGTGATTTACATAGCAGGTCGTAAAGATCCCCATATCAGGCTCGATCCAGGAGTGCTCCTGGGAGCACGCATGATCAGGAAATACCGTGTTTTGCATCGGATTGTGGTTGATTTACATAGCAGGCCGTATAGATCCCCATAGTAGGCTCGATCCAGGAGTGCGCCTGGGAGCACGCATGATTAGGAAATCATGTGTGTTTCCATACGATTGTGGGTGATTTACATAGCGGGTCGTGAAGATCACAATATCAGGCTCGATCCAGGAGTGCGCCTGGGAGTACGCATGATCAGGAAATAATATGTTTTGCATACTATTGTGGGTGATTTACGTAGCAGGTCGTACAGATCCCCATATGAGGCTCGATCCAGGAGTGCGCCTGGGAGCACGCATGATCAGAAAATTGTATGTTTTGCATACGATTGTGGGTGATTTACATAGCGGGTCGTAAAGATCACAATATCAGGCTCGATCCAGGAGTGCGCCTGGGAGCACGCATGATCAGGAAATAATATGTTTTGCATAGGATTGTGGGTGGTTTACATAGCGGGCCGTAAAGATCCCCATAGCAGGGTCGATCCAGGAGTTCGGATGGACGTCAGGACGCATGGGGTCTAGATAATCATGGGTTAATAATTATAGGATTAAGAATTTAGGGTCTACTAGGCGTGGCCACGAGGACACCGTGACCGCGAACCCACCTGCGGTGGCCGGCAGTCCCACCCGCAAGCCACCCCACCATACAGATCATCTCTCCCCTCGTTAGAACCACATCGACTAGAGCGTCGACGACGACGACGACGGCGACGGCGACGAGTGATGTGCGAGCCAGTTGGCACGCGAGGGCTCTCACGGGCGGGAAAAGTCGGGTCGGGCGGGAGAGATTCTGCACGCATGCGCAGCACGTGCCACGTTGCGGAATAGATGGATCGGATTGCAACGGGGACTGGGCACTTTGTAGTGTAAAATACATGAGATTCTGCACGCATGCTCAGCACATGCTATTTTTTGCAGTAGATGGAGCCGGTTTACATAAGAGGGGCGCACTTTGTTATGTACAAAATATGAGATTCTGCACGCATGCGCAGGAAATGCTGTTTTTTGCAGTAGATGGACCCGGGTCGCAACGGGGACTGGGTATTTTGTGCTGTGAAAAACATGAGATTCTGCACGCGTGCGCAGGAAATGCTATTTTTTGCAGTAGATGGAGCGGGGTTGCGACGGGGACTGGGCACTTTGTGCTGTAAAAGACAGGAGATTCTGCACGCGTGCTCAGGAAATGCTATTTTTTGCAGTAGATGGAGCGGGGTTGCATGGTGGCCTGTTTTATAGTAATTAGGATTTAATGATTACAGGATGAGAAATTTAAGGTCTACCAGGCTTGGCCACGATTACACTTTGACCGCGAACCCACCTGCGGTGGCCGTCACTCCCACCCGCAAGCCACCCCACCATAAAGATCATCTCTCCCCTCGTTATAACCACATCGAATACAACGTCGACGACGACGACGACGGCGACGACTGATGTGCGAGCCAGTTGGCACGCGAGTGCTCTAACGGGCGGGAAGAGTCGGGCAGGCGGACCCCAACGGACGGGACGGGTCGGGTCCGGCGGGAGGAGCCTACTTTTGGGGACCCATGATGTGCTATGCCATGCTATAGTCCGGTGGCGGGATAGGCCTTGGATAGGAAGGAGTAAAAGACAACGCGCACATAGGAATCCCCACCTTTTGGGGAACCCATGCCGAGCTATGCCATGCCATAGCACGGTGGCGGGAAAGGCATTGGACAAGTAGAGGTAAAAGGCAACGCGCGCATAGGGGTCCCCACTTTGTGGGGACCCATGCGGTGCTATGCCATGCTTTAGCGCAGTGGCGGGATAGCGTCCCTGGCTGGTAGCCCGAATCCAGTCGTAGAAGAAACCCCGAAATACAACCCAATGCATAACGAACAGTGCGACTGGATAGGCACAGTGTGGCAAGTTCCGTCGGGACACTCAGAACAAACTGGATGGTTAAGACACGCTTGGTTTGTGGTAGCCGGCCATCCTTTGTCTTCCAATAGAATTGGAAGGACGAGGATCGGTTATGAGCACACGATAGCTCCTGCTGAACCAAAAATGGCTGAACGAACATCATAGGTTTGACCGCTCCCTCTGCCAGAACATGTGCACAGAACAGCATTGACAAGAAGAACATATAATGACAAATGATGAGGCGGAGATGAGTGGGGAGGTAGACAGACAGACAATCGAGACACACCCGAGAGAACTGTTAAACTTCAACGCCCGCGTGCCCCATACAAGCGAAACGGGTCGGGCAGACGGACCCTAACGAGCGCGTCGGATCGGGTCGGGTGTTGGCACGCGAGTACCCTAACGGACGGGACGGGTCGGGCAGGCAAAACGGACGGGACGGGTCGGGTCGGGCGAAAGAGATTCTGCACGCATGCGCAGCAAATGCTATTTTTTGGAATAGATGGATCGGCTCGCAACGGGGGCCGGGCACTGTGTATTGTAAAATAGTAGAGTTTCTGCACGCATGCGCAGCAAGTGCTATTTTTTGCAGTAGATGGAGCCGGTTTACATAACGGGGTCGCAGCGGGGACCGGGGACTTTGCATCGTAAAATGCAAGAGATTCTGCACGCATGCGCAGCAAGTGCTATTTTTTGCAGTAGATGGAGCCGGGTCGCAACGGGGACGGGGCACTTTGCAGTGTAACATACAAGAGTTTCTGCACGCATGTGCAGCAAATGCTGCTTTTTGCAATAGATGGAGCCGGTTTGCATAACGAGCGGTTTTGTAGTAGTCAGGGTTTAATAATTATAGGGTTAGAAATCAACAAGGAACGCATATCGCAACCAACTGAACTCGTTGTCACATTGCCGCGGTGCTGACACCCACCCACCTTGGATTCCCATTACATATGCAGGTACACATAACGCGCGAGGCTTACCATCGACGCAGCAGCCTCGGCATGCCTGGGCCAGGCTGCCAGGCATGCGCACCGAGCTCGGTGCGCATGCCTTCCAAGCGTGGCGGATGCACCGAGCCTGGGCCCAGGACGGGCCTGGCCATGATCGGTCGGGCGGGCCCCAAAGTTAGTTAAAGGGGTCCAGCGGCAGGGGGGTGCTGCAACAAATTTGGAGATCTGTGGGGTTGCACTGGATCTGGGACGTGCAGTATATTCCGGTGCGTAAATGTATTGCTGGACTTTCGCGTGCAAATCATTCGTTGCAGCACAGTGCAATACAGTTCTTTGGCGCAGTACATTTGCAACACAACTGCCCCAAACCTATTGCACCACCCCCTTTCAGCTAGACCCCATTTTGTCGGCGCATATGCATACAGTTAGCCCTCCTTCCCCCAGGAGAAGGGCTACGACACCGCGGTGGGCGAGCGCGGGGCCACGCTCAGCGGCGGCCAGAAGCAGCGCATCGCCATCGCCCGCGCCATGATCCGCGACCCGAAGGTGCTGCTGCTGGACGAGGCCTTCCGAGGCAGCAGAATCAGTGACTCTTGTTCGGCCTTTGAACTGGTTTCGACGTGCTCCCTTCCTCGGGCCTCCGACACCCCAAGACGGCCCCAAGACGGCTTCAGAGGCCCCCGGGGCCGGAAGAGGCTCGAGGAAGAAAAGACGCTGTACAAACACAAACTTTCGGAGCTCCGCGTGGATTTCTCGGATCGGCGCTGGGCCCCCCCTGGCGGCGCCTCCGGCGCCGCCCCTGGCGCGCTCCGCCCGCCACGGTTGGGGGAAGGGCGGCGCCGATCCGAGAAGTCCGCGCGGAGCTCCGAGCGTGTGTGCCTGTGCATCTGGCCTGCTCCTCTTGGAGGCCACCAGCGCCCTGGACACGGAGAGCGAGCGCGTGGTCATGGAGGCGCTGGACGCGATCGTGGCGGAGGGGCGCCGCACCACGCTGGTCATCGCGCACCGCCTTTCGACGGTCAAGAACAGCGACGTCATCTTCGTGCTGGAGGCTCGGGGGCCACGTCAGGGACGAGCTCGGATCGGGGTTCGAGGTTGGAAGTTGGAGGAGGGGGAGGAAGAGGAGGAGGAGAAGGAGGAGGAGGAGGAGGAGCAGGAGGAGGAGGAGGAGGAGGAGGTTTTGAAACCTCGGGATGCTTTCCAGCGGCCGCAAACCGAGGGGAACGTTAGGGTGGGATATTATCTAGTCGGGCTTGTCCCTCTACAGGAGGAAGCTTCAAACACATGGTAAAACATAGTATGGGGTTGTTATGTTTGGGTATGTTTGGGATCCTTTTATTTTTCGTCCAAAATCCGCCTGTAGGAGGGCATGCCCGACATAACGCTCGGTGGCCTGCCGCTGCTCGATCGGCGATGCGTCGCGGATTCCAGGTCGACGTTCACCTCCCCGAGCCAGCTCCTCCGAACCTTCTCCTCCGAGGACGGCTCGCTGGTGGAGAGGGGCACGCACGCGGAGCTGCTCGCGACGGAGGGCGGGCTGTACCAGCAGCTGGTGCGCCGAAGAACAGCAAAGGGCATGAGCATAGCCAAACTGTCGAAGGTCCACGCGGATCTCTTGGATCGGCGCTGGGCTCCCCCTCCCTGGCGTGCGGAGCGCGCCAGGGGCGGCGCCAGAGACATCGCCTGGGGGCCCCGAGCGCCGATCCAAGAAATCCGCGCGGAGCTCCGAACGTTGGTGTGTGTGTGTGTGCGTGTGTGTGTGTGTGTGTGTGTGTGTGTGTGTGTGTGTGTGTGTGTGTGTGTGTGTGTGTGTGTGTGTGTGTGTGTGTGTGTGTGTGTGTGTGTGTGTGTGTGTGTGTGTGTGTGTGTGTGTGTGTGTGTGTGTGTGTGTGTGGGGGGGCAGTTGCTTTTGCTTCTCTAGGTGCAGCTGCAGAACCTGTCTGGGGACGTCTGCATCAGCCAACCGATCCCCATCCCCACTGGGCCACGGTACTCAGCCCCACCAGGTTACCCGCCGAGGTGGGGACATGTCCGGCGAAACCCGACTGGGACTGCCTGTATCCCCGTCAGGAGGGTCCCCGCCTCCGGATCCACTGCTCTGGCTGATTTCCCGACTTGGGGCTGTGTCGGAGAGCACCCCAAGCGATGGGAAAAAGTAGGGCGCACATCTCCGCCTCAGCAGCGTCGGGCGGAGACAGGGGCAAACAGATGGGGCAAAGAGCGGCGGCAAGGTAGGGCGGGCGCCGGCACCAAAGGCGCCCGAAAGGAAGGGTGGAGGCTTCCGCCCTGCTCACGACATCGCCCAGGGCGCGGTGGATGCGAAGTGAGGGGTAGGGTCCGCCTGTGGGGCCGAGGCGGACGGGGATTGCTGGGTCACCTGCGGGCGCGTGAAGGTACTCGCGCTTCGCGCGTCGCGGTCTGGGTCAGAGTGGTTGCCCTTCTCCAGACGGGGGCGGCGCGAGTGTGCTGGGCCTCGAGGGCGCGGAGGTCAGCGTGGGTCTCGCCTCGCGGGGCGCGAGGAGCGAAGCTTGGTGACCTCGGGTGGGTTCCGCGGTGCTCAGGACGGCGAGCAGGAGCCGCCCCTGGAGCAGCTGACGCGTCAGCTGTCGCGCCAGACGTCGCGCCGGCAGTCGGAGTCGGCGCTGTCGCGGCAGAGTTCGGAGCTCTCGCGGCAGCACTCGGGGCTGTCGCGGCAGGAGCTCGGCCACGTGCAGAGGGGGGTATGGGGGAGGGGAGAGGGCTTCTCGGAAGGAGGCTGCTTCTTTGAAGGCGCGGGCCTCATCTATAGACGTGAGGCTGGCGCCTTCTGAGAAGCAGCCTCCTTCTGAGAAGCCTTCCCCCCTCTCCCTATGCCCCCCCCCTGCGCGCCGCCAAGGAGAGCTCGCCCCTCGGGCGGCTGGGGTCGGCGCTGTCGCGCGAGCGCAGCTCGCGGGAGCTGCGGCGGGCGGTCTTCGCGAGTGAAGCATCGGGCGGAGGAGGAGGAGGAGGAGGAGGAGGAGGAGGAGGAGGAGGAGGAGGAGGAGGAGGAGGCGGAGGAGGAGGAGGAGGAGGAGGAGGAGGAGGAGGAGGAGGAGGAGGTGCTGCGGTCGGGAGCCTTCGTGCTGCGCCGCCGGGTCTGGCCCGCCACGCCTCGGTGCGACTAGCGCTGTCCACTGCCAAGCCCGCCCACGCCCCGAGCCTTTCCCCAGGCTCCCGCCCGCGGAGCGGTGCAGCATGCCATGCGCGGGCGAGGCGTGGCGTGCTGCCGGGGCCGGCACCGCGAGGCGCTCGGCAGGAGTTCTCGACTGCAGCACGGGGCAGCGATCCGCGGATCTGGCGCGTGGGTGCCAGATCCGCGGATCGGGGAAGGTTCCCCCGAGGCGGCGGGAGCGCCGATCACGCATGGAGGCAGGACCCATCGCTACGCCTCAGTCCATGCGGGCGCTTCCTGGAGAGTGTCGCGTGGACCCCGAACAGCGTTTTCTAGCAGTCTGTGTTGTGCAATCTATGTGGGGGGCACTCTATGTGATGCAACTACGTGGTGCACTCTGAATGGTGCAATATATGTTGTGCACTCTAAGGCTGGCAATTCACGATGACTGTCTTGTAGCTGTCCTCTCCACTGCTCGTGCAAACATCCCACCCTCCCACCCGCAACTTGGTCGCAAGACCTCTTAAGGCCGTGACGGTAGGTACCAGATGGCACTTGGCAACGACACCGACGCCGACGACGACAGCTACAAAGAAGACGACGACGACTACGACGACGCCGACGCCGACGCCGACGCCGACGACGACGACGACGACACCGACGACGACGACCCCGACGACGACGATGACGACGACGACGACGACGACAACGACGACGCCGACGACGACGCCGACGAAGGCGACGACAACGACGACGAGGGAGGAGGGAAGACGACGACGGCGACGACGACGACAACGACGAGGGAGGAGGGAGGACGGCGACGACGCGGACGACGAAGAAGGAGGGAGGACGGCGACGCCGACGACGACAACGACGAGAGAGGAGGGAGGACGGCGACGACGACGACGACGACGACGGCGACGAAATAGGAGGGACGACGACGAGACGCCGACGACGGACGACGACGACGACGAGAGAGTAGGAAGGACGACCACGGCGACAACGACGTCGGAAACGACGACGACGCCAAAGAGGACGACGACGACGGCGAGGGAAGACAGATGACGACGACGGCGACGACGACGACGACGAGGGAGGAGGGAGGACGGCGACGACGACGACGAGGACGACCACGACGAGGAAGGAGGAAGAACGGCGACGCCGACGACCACGACGACGAGGGAGGAGAGCACACGACGACGACGACGACGACGACGACAACGACGACCGCGACGACGACGACGAATGACGACGACGACGACGACGACGACGGACGACGACGACGACGACGAAGAGGACGACGAACGACGACGACGGCCATGACGAGGAAGGAGGGAGGACGGCGACTCCGACGACGACGACGAGGGAGGAGGGTGGGCGACGACGACGACGATGACGACGGCGACGATGGAGGAGGGACGACGACAACGACGACGACGACGACGACGACGGCGACGATAACGAGGGAGTGGAGAGCTCTGGCGAACAAGACGTCAGTCGAGAGCTTCTGGACGCCGACGACGACGACGAGGGAGGAGGGAGGACGACGATGGGAACGACGACGACGGCGACGATAACGCCAACGACGTCGACGACGACGACGACGACGACGACGGCGACGGCGCCGACGACGACGACGACGACGAGAAGGATTTCGGCATCCGCGGGCGGCGGCCGCGCTCATGTGCCCCGCATGGTGTTTTTTATAAGGGATTGTGGCCCTGGCAAGCGCGCGACCGATGTTAAAGGAGTTCGACGAGCGCTCAAAAGTATTGAATGACCGAAATACATGTTCCCATAAAAGTCATGTTCTTTTTAGGGTTCGGAAAGCCCGCGCGGGTAGACATGTTGATTGTTGTTGGGAGTTTTTGTTCGAAGATGTATGGTGCGATTCGTGTGATTTGTTATGTAGCTCGGTCTTGAAATGGTTGAAAACACAGTGTGTTTGGAAGGATTTTGATATGTGCGCGCGGCGGCCGCGCGCATGTGCCCCGCACGTTTTTTTTACAAGGGATTGTGGCCCTGGCAGGCGCACGACCGATGATGAAGGCGTTCGACGCGCGCGCATTAAGTTGCCCGCGTGACAGATGTTGAAAAACCGTTGGTTTTTGAGGGTTCGGAAAGCGCGCGCGGGTAGATTTGTTGATTTGTTTGCAGACTGTGTTCTCGGATGTATGGTACGGTTTGTGTGATTTCATGATGCTCGATCTTGAACTTGTTGAAACCACAATGTGTTTGGAAGGATTTCGACCTGCGCGCGCGGCGGCCGCGCGCATGTGCCCCGTATGGTATGTCTTAACAAGGGATTGTGGCCCTGGCAGGCGCGCGACCGTTGTTGAATGAGATCGACGTGCGCGCAAAAGATGCCCAAGAAGCCCGATTTGACAGGAATGTTGAAGAACATTCCGGTTTTTGAAGGATTCGGCAAGAGCGCGCGGGCAGATTTGTTTATAGTTCTTGGGTGGGAAAGTCGTCTGTGTCCATAGGTGTTCTTGAAGCGGGATGTTGAAATTGTTGGAAACACCATGTGTTTGGAAGGATTTCGACATGCGCGCGCAGCGGCCGCGCGCGTGTGCCCCGCATGATTTTTTCTACAAGGGATTCGCTGAACAAGTGTTCTGTTTTCACAAAAGATGCCACCGTATAGTATTTGTTGCCCGGGAACCGAGGGAGGACCGATACCGGCCTGGCTGGGATAGCATGAATTCACAGGTAGGATGGACATTGGGTCAGAATCCTGTGTTTTGCATAGGTTCCCAGGGAATCGATAAGTCCGGGGGGGGGAGGGTGGTAGGACCTACTTCCTCTTTAGAAGGGAGAATCTACGTAGTGCTATCTTTGTGGCGCAATCTGCGTGGTGCAATTTACGCGGTGCAGCCAATCACTTGCTCAACTTGAAGCTGTCCTCTCCATTGCTCGTGCAAACATCACACCCTCCCACACGCAACTTGGTCGCAAGACCTCTTCAGACCGTGACGGTGGGTACCAAATTGCGCGCGGCTGCGACACCGACGCCGACGACGACAGCGACAATGACGACGACGACGACGACGACGACGCCGACAACGATTACGACGACACCGGCGACGTCTCCAACGCCTTTGACGACGACGACAACGACGACGATGACGACGACGACGACACCGACGACGACGACGACGATGACGACGACGACGACGACGTCGCCAACGAAGACGACGACGACGAGGGAGGAGGGAGGACGACGACGGTGACAACGACGACGACGCGAACGACGAAGAAGGAGGGAGGACGGCGACGCCGACGACGACAACGACGAGGGAGGAGGGAGGACGGCGACGACGACGACGGCGACGAAATAGGAGGGACGACGACGAGACGCCGACGACGGACGACGACGACGACGAGGGAGTAGGAAGGACGACCACGGCGACAACGACGACGGAAACGACGACGACGCCAAAGAGGACGACGACGACGGCGAGGAAAGACAGAGGACGACGACGGCGACGGCGACGACGAGGGAGGAGGGAGGACGGCGACGACGACGACGACGACGACGGCGACCAAATAGGAGGGACAACGACGAAACGCCGACGAAGACGACGAGGGAGGAAGGACAACCACGGCGACAACGACGACGGAAACGACGACGACGCCAAGACGACGACGGCGACGACGACGACGACGACGACGAGGGAGGAGGGAGGACGGCGACGACGACGACGACGACGACGCAAGAGCGCGCGCGCACGCTTTTGTTTACGATCCGTGTTGCGAAACCCTGTGTTTTCTTATGTGTTTTGGGCATTCGATTGTGAATTTCTTCCGAATCCGACGGTTTTTGAAGGATTTCGGCATGTGCGCGCGACGGCGCGCGCGTGTGCACTGCGTCCGGTTTTGTGCACAGGGTTCTCGCGACGGCACGCGCGCAAGGGCGTTCGAAAGATTTCGACATGCGCGCGCGAAACCCGTTTGGTAGTAATTCTTGGAAATATGGCAAAACCTATGCTTTCCTTGAGATTTCGCAAGAGCGCGCGCGTAAGCTTTTTCAGAAAACCAGTGTTGCGAAGCCATGTGTTGTTGTATGTTTTTGGTGAACTAGATTTTGAAATCCTTCCGACACCGAAGGTTTTTGAAGGATTTCGGCATGCGCGCGACGACGCGCGCGTGCGCACTTCTTTGCATGGTTTGCCAAGGGTTCTTGGAAATTTATGATGTGTCATGACCGAGTGTGCGCGCACACTCGTTTTGCAAAGGGTGGCGGGGGGAACCGATCCTGGTTTGGCTGGGACATTATGATTTCACAGGTAGCATGGATATTGCATCAGAATCCTATGTTTTACATCGGTTCCTGGGGGGTCTTTAGCCCGGGGGGGGAGAGTGGTAGAACCGATTCTGCTATAGAAAGGAGAATTAATTTCTGTTCGCAGTGAGCTGCCCACTTGACCGCTGGCGCAAACATCCCACCCACCCACCCACCCGCAACTTGTTTTGCAAACCTCATGCGGCGGCGATTGTGATGAGTGCTTGGCGCTGGCTGGTGCATTGCATCTCTGCGGCCGCGCTAGCCCGCGCATGCTCGCGCGCGCGCAGCAGCCAGCTTGCCTGGCGCGGCCGACGCGAACGCGGCGGCGCTGGCCGTTCGGCACATCCCAGCGGGCACTTCAGTACGACTCGGCGACTTGGGCGGGCGCGGTATCATGGCAACGTCGACAACGGTAGACACGATGATAACAGTAGCGATGCTGGTGGCGATGCTGACAGCGACGACGGGGCAGCCAGTGACGGCGCCGATGCTGATCACGCCGACGACGATGACGGCGTCTTCGCGTCGGTGATGAAGATTTTGGAAAGAGTTCGCAGACGCGCGAGAGTGGCCCGCATGGTGTTCTTTGATTCGGATCGTGCCACCCCAGCACGCGCGCGCGCGCGCGCCACCAACAGCAACGCAACGCACAGAACAGAGTATTGCGGAGCCAATGTCGCGCAGGCAGTAAAAGCGAGGCGTCAAAGTTGAACAGCGCGTGCTCCAGGTGCGTGGGCTGCAGCCAATTCAGGGTGGGGCGTTGCGGTGGGGGTCAGAGCGGGGGGTCGAAGTCAATCCCAGGCCAGGAATTGTCGGGTGGCGGGACCGAATAACAAGAGTTCTGGGCGGGGAAGATGCTGGGGCACGGGGGGGTCAGTCCGAGGGGTCGGGGTCGATTCCAGGCCAGGGGTTATCGCGTGGGGATCCCCGACAACAGAAGTACCGTGGCGCGGTTTGAGTCAGGGCGGGGGGTCGAAGTCGAGCCCAGGCCAGCAATTTTTGGGTGGAAGGGCCCGAAGAACAGAGGTTTTGGGCGGGGGGATACCAGGGCGCGGAAAAGGGGGTCAGGGCGGCGGGGTCGGGGTCGATCCCCAGCCAGGAATTGCCGTGCAGGGGCCTCCAAAAACAAAGGTCCTGGGTGGGTGAGATACCGGGGGGTAGTGGGGGCCAGGATGGGGGATCGAAGTCGATTCCACTCGAGGTCCTGGGCGGGGTAAATGTCGGGTGACGGCGGGGGTCAGGGTGGAGGGTCGGGGTGGGTTCCAGGCCAGGAATTGTCGTGTGGAGGGGCCCGAAAGCAGAGGTCTTGGGCGGGGGAGATGCTGGGGCACGGTGGGGGTCAGGGCGAGGGGTCGGGGTCGATTCCCAGCCTGGAATTGTCGCGCGGGGGGGAGCTCAAGCACACAGGTCTTGATTGGGGAAGATGCCGGAGCATGGTGGGGGTCAGGGCGGGGGGTCGGGGTCGATTCCAGGCCAGGAAATGTCGCGTGGGAACTCCCAAGAACAGAGATTTTCGGCGGGGAAGGCGCCAGGGCACGGCGGGGGTCAGGGCGGGGGGTCTGGCCAGATTCTCGGCCAGGATTTGTAAGGTTGGGAACCCCGAAAGCGGACGTTCTGGGCGGGAAAATGCCAGGGCACGGCGGGGGTCAACGCGGGGGGTCCATGCCAGGAGCTGTCGTCCGGGAGGGCCCAAGAACAGAGGTTCCAGGCAGGAAAGCTGCCTGGGCACGGTGGGGGTGAGGGTGGGGGGTCGGGGTCGATCCTGGGCCAGAGCTCGTCGTGCGGGGGGGCCCAGGAACAGAGGTCCTAGGCGGCGAAAATACTAGGGCACGGTGGGGGTCAGGGCGGGGGGTCGAAATCGATTCCAGGCGAGGACTTGTCGGGTGGCGCGCCCGAAAAACAGAGTTTCTGGACGGGGACGATACCGGGGCGCGGTGGGGGTCGGGGTGGGGGGTCGGGGTCGATTCCAGGCCAGGAAGCGTCGCGTAGGGACCCTCAAGAACGGAGGGTCTGGCAGGTGGAGACGCTGGAGCGCGGTAGGGGTCAGGGCGGGAGGTCGGGGTCGATTCCAGGCTAGGAGTACTCGGTTGGGGGCCACAAGAACAGAGGTTCCGGGCAGGGAAAATGTCGGGGCACGGTGGGGGTCAAAATTGCGGGTGGGGGTCTGTTCCAGGTCGGGAATTGTCAGGTGGGGGGCGGGAGAAATAAGTGTTCCGGGCGGGGAAGATGCCAGGACATGGTGGGGGTCAGGGTGGAGGGTCGGGGTGGGCTCCAGGCCAGGAGTTGTCGCGTGGGGGGGCCCAAGAGCAGAGGTTCTGGGCGGGGAAGATGCCGGGGCGCGGCGGGGGTGGGGGGTCGGGGTCGATTCCAAGCCAGGAAGCGTCGGGTAGTGGGCCCTAAGAACAAAGGTCCTGGGCGGGGAAGATGCCGGGGCATGGTGGAGGTCAGGGTGGGGGGTCGGGGCCGATTCCAGGCCAGGAATTGTCGCGCGGGCCTGAAGAACAGAAGTTCTGGGCAGGGGAGGTGTCGGGGCACGGTGGAGGTCAGGGCGGAGGGTCGGGGTGGATTCCAGGGCAGGAATTGTCGTCTGTGGGGGGGGCCCAAGACAGAGGTTTTTTTTCAAACGGGGAATGCCAGGACACGGTGGGGGTCAGGGTGGTGGGTCGGGGCTGATTCCGGGACAGGGATGGTCGGGTGGGGAGCCCTCAGAACAGAAGACCTGGTTGGGGAAGATGTCGGGGCACGGTTGCGGTCAGGGTGCGGGGTCGGGGTCGATCCCCGGCGAGGAATTGTCGCGCGGGGGGGCCCAAGGCGTCAGGGCGGGGAAGATGCCGGGGCACGGCGGGGGGGTCGGGGTCGGTTGCAGGCCAGGAGTTGTCGTGTGGGGGGGGGAGGTTTTGTTCGGGGAACATGATGCCGGGGCACGGTGGGGGCCGGGGCGGGGGGCCGGGGTCGGTTCCAGGCCAGGAGTTGTCGCGCGGGAGGGCCCATGAGCACAGGCTCCGGGCGGGAGAGATGCCGGGGCACGGTGGGGGCCAGGGTGCGGGCGGCGAGCGCGAGCGGCCCGCATGATTCTGTCTGACCGGGCTCGTCCCCCCCAGCAAGTGCACAGTGGCGTTCGAATAATTTCGACGTGCACGAACGAGGTCCGCTTGGTCGCATGTAGTGGGCATGTCGAGAAAACGGCGGTTTCCGTGAGGATTCGCAACGAGTGCGCGCTGACTCTCTCTGAACATCCATGTTGCAAAAGCCATCGGCTTCTACACGTGATCGGGAAATGCACATCTGATTTTCTTACGAATCATTTGGTTTTTGAAGGATTTTGGCATGCGTGCGGACGCGTGTGTGTCGGTTTTATCATTTTGCTTGCGAAGGCCTCCTTGGGGATTCACCATTTGGGATCAACGCGTGCACTCGCGTAGTATCATTTGCAGCGACGAGGGGGGGCGATACCGGGTCTAGCTTACGTGACGAAGGTGGACGATGGGACAGAACCTTACGTACATTGTACTGTCCCAGGGGATGTCGATCAACCCTGGGGGGAGCAGATCCGAATTTGCTGTGAAAGGAGAATCCACGCGGTGTGGCGACGAGGCGGCGGCGGGGCGGCGATGGCGAGCACAGAGGCGCCCCACCGCCAGCCAGGCCCAGACGACGGGCGGCGGGCGAGGTGGCGACGGGGCGGCGACGGAGAGCGCGGAGCCGCCAGACCGCTTGCCGGGCTCGGACGACGGGCGGCGACGAGGCGGCGACGGGGCGGCGACGGCGAGCACCGAGCCGCCAGACCACCAGCCAGGCCTGAGGTCCTCAGACAGGAGTAGGAATCCCCAAGTGGAAGCACTGTTTGGGGGCAGTGATTGCACAAACATAAATGTTCGAGGGTCCGCGCGGATTTCTTGGATCTGCGCTCCCCACTGGCGGCGCCTCTGGTACCGCCCAAGGCGCGCTCCGCGCGCTGGTGAATGGGGTGGCGCAGCGCCGATCCAGCAAGTCCGCGTGGACCACCGGAAGCGAATCATCGTGCAATCGCTTGTCCTCCTCCGGCCTCCTGAGAAGCCTTCCGAGCCTTCCCCGGGGCCGCAGAGGGCTCCCCAGAATTAGGGCGCTGCGTAATGGGGGGGTCATAAATGGGGGGGCGGCGAGGGTGGTCCGAAAAGGTACCCAAACGGTACCTAAACGAGCCCCCTGGGGCTCTGGAGGGGCCCGAAAGGGGCACGAAAGGGGACCTTTTCTGACCCCCCCATTTGTGACCCCCCCATTAAGCCACGCCCAACAGAAGGCCGCAAGGCTTCCGCCGAGATGCCCCGCCGCCGTCTGAGTATGTCTCGGATCTGCGCTGGGCCCCCCACCCCCGGCGGCGGCGCCTCCGGCGCCGCCCCGAGCGCGCCCCGCGCGCGGGGGAAAGGTGGCCCCACCGCCGATCCAACAAGTCCGCGCGGCCCTCCGGGACTTGTGCTGCCGCTCCTCCTCCTCCTCCTCCTCCTCCTCCTCCTCCTCCTCCTCCTGCTGCCTCCTTCTCCTCCTCCTCCTCCTCCTCCTCCTCCTCCTCCTCCTCCTCCTCCTCCTCCTCCTCCTCCTCCTCCTCCTCCTCCTCCAACAAGTCCGATGGGTGTGCTGCCGCCGCTCCCTCCAGGTCTCCGGGTCCCTCGCGAGGGCGGCCAGCGAGTTCGCGCCCACCAGCCAGGCGGCCTACGTCGAGGAGCGGGGCGGCGGCGCGGAGGACACCTCGCGCGACGCGGTGCCCGGCGAGGACGAGCAGGACAAGGAGGTGCCTTCCTCGCGGCTGCTCGGGCTCCTGAGCACGGGGTGGCTCGCGGTGGCCATGGTCACCGAAGGAGGAAGCACGCACACGGAAGGTTCGCGTCGTGTCGACCGGCGGTTCTCCTCCTCCTCCTCCTCCTCCTCCTCCTCCTCCTCCTCCTCCTCCTCCTGCTCTCCTCCTCCTCCTGCTCCTCTCCTCTCCTCCTCCTCCTCCTCCTCCTCCTCTCCCGTCCTCGTCCTCCTCCTTCCTTCTCCTCCTCCTCCGCCTCCTCCTCCTTCCTCCTCCTCCTCCTCCGCCTCCTCCTCCTCCTCCTTCTCCTCCTCCTCCTCCTGATCCTCGTCCTCCTCCCCTCCTCCTCCGGCCCCATGGGTGGGGCATGGCACCTGTTCTCATTGTGTCAGTGCCACACACTCCACGGGGCACGCTGTCGGGAGCGTGATCCGCCAGCTGGGTGAGGTGTAACCGGCCGTGTTCTTTGGGAACCAAGCGGCTTGGCGTCCTCGCCTTGCCGCTGGTGGCGTCAGCAGCGCCCGTAGCACTAGAGTTGGTTCCCAGGCGCGGGGATCGCGCATTTGGTGGAAAGGTGGGGCCAGGTGGCATGTAAATCCCATGGGACCTTGTGTCCACTCCCCCTGGGGTACAAGCCCAGTTGCGCGTGCTAGGTGGTTCGATAGGGTTGAGGCCGCTTGAAGGTCCCCTGCGTCCCAGCCGTCGCGCTTAGGCTGCGAGTCGTTGGCGACGTGGTCACCCCTCTGTGCCCTGACTGGCTTGTGTTTGAAACCACGTGTGTGGTTAGCGACATGCTCCCACATGTTCTTCTTCTTCCTCCTCCTCCTCCTCCTCCTCCTCCTCCTCCTCCTCCTCCTCCTCCTCCTCCTCCTCCTCCTCCGTCTCCTCCTCCCTCCTCCGCCCTCCGCGCTCAAGGGTAAACGCCGCCAGTGGCCCAGAATCGGTCTGCATGGAGCGATCGGGCGATCGAAGAGCAGCCGATCGTGCAAGGTCGAACGATCCACGCGGCGTCAGGAGCCAACGCCCGGGTCGTCACGGCACGAACTTGCCGTGCGTTTTCAATTTCGGAGGGGTCCGCGCGGATCACGTGGATCGATGTTGAGCCCCCCCCCTCCCTGGCAGCCGATCCGAGAGATCCGCGCGGAGCTCCGACATTTCGTGTTTGTGCAGTCTGCTTGTTCCTCTCACCATGCGCGTTTCACTACTCGCAAAGTGCCTACTCGCAAACATCCAATGAAGCCTGATTGCCTTGATCCAATGGCATTTGTTTGCCTTGATGCCACGGATCCAGGCCATGTGCGAGTAGCTACTCTGCGAGTAGTGGAACGCGCGTGTCTACCCAGACATGCGACGTCCTGATTTTTTCAGGACGGCGTCCCCGGAAATCCAGACCGTTTCCCCCGGGCCAGTTTTTTATCCGGAGCCGTTCTTTGACGGTCCCGGGGCCCGGCGAGGGCCCCGAGGGGCCGAACATGCAGAAACATCTGCCGCCCTGAACGTTCGACGCCGCGACCATGTCTGGGTTTGTCTATCCTCGAGGTCATGACCGGCTTCCAGTCGTGCTGCGGGCCCCTGATGGGGCGCCTCTTCGGGCACTCCAGCCTCGGAGGCTGCCGGGGGGAGGGGGGCCGCGCTGGCCCAGAGGGGCGGCTCCCCGCGGCTCCAGTGCCTGGCCTGGGCGGTCGGGGCCTCCTTGGAGCCCTCGGGGCCCCTCGGGGCACCTCGGGGAGGATGAGAAAGAGGGCGAGGAGGAGGAGGCGGAGGAGGAGGAGGAGGAGGAGGAGGAGGAGAAGCAGCAGGAGGAGCAGCAGGAGCAGCAGGAGGAGCAGCAGGAGGAGCAGCAGCAGGAGGAGCAGCAGGAGGAGGAGGAGAGGACGAGGATGAGGAAGAGGAGGAGGAGGAGGAGAGAGGAGGAGGAGAAGCAGCAGAGGAGCAGCAGGAGGAGCAGGAGGAGCACAGGAGGAGCAGCAGAGGAGCAGCAGCAGGAGGAGCAGTGGCGAGGAGGAGGAGAGGAGGAGAGGAGAGCGGAGAGGAGATGAGGAGGAGGAGGGGAGAGGAGGAGGTAGCAGGAGCCACCGCCACGAAGGCCTTCCGAGTGGCACGCGCAGGTGGGCGCGGGGCACCCCGGGCCGAGAGGCTCTCTGCAGGCGGCCGTGTGCGCCCTGCCCTGGCAGGCCGCACGAGGCACGCTGGAGGTTCAGAAATCGAAGGCTGCCTGCAGCCAGGGGGGAAACCCCAGCGGGGGTGTCCGATACCCCAGCGTCGATTGGACCCGTGTGCCGTATGGCTAGGGTTCGAAAGTCCTCCTCCTCCTCCTCCTCCTCCTTCCTCCTCCTCCTCCTCCTCCTCCTCCTCCTCCTCCTCCTCCTCCTCGTGGTCGCAGACCCTGGCAGCCTCCGAGCCATCGACGTCCTGAGCGCGCCTCCCGCCCTGCCCCTCGGCCCGGGCGGCAGCTGGGTGCCGGCCTACAGCGCGGCGAAGGTCCACGACGCGGTGCGAGAGACGTGCGTGCTCTACGGTGCCGTCTCTGCGGTCCAGCTCGTCTCCATCTACCTCGCCGGCAGCGGCTTCCGCCGCGTCTCCGAGGGCCTGACCCGGCGGGTGCGCATCGAGACGTTCTCCGCGATCATGCGCCAGGAGATGGCCTACTTCGACCTCCGCACCTGCGGCCAGCTCACCGACCGCCTGGCCCACGAGGCCGCGATGATCAAGAGCTTCACCGGGGAGAGCTTTGGCGGTGTCGTGCGAGTGTTGGTCACCATAGTGGTGGCAATGTGTCTGGCCCTGCTGGAGTCCTGGCAGCTCACTGCGACACTCATCCTCATCATGCCCTTCATGATGGTGGGCCAGATTTTCAAGATGAGGTCTTTGAAAAAGAAGGACGAATCCAGGGCTGGACCTGTGGTGAGCGAAGTGGTGGGAAACATCAAGACGGTCGCGGCTTTCAGCTTGCAGGACAGGATGTTGAAATGGTATAAGGATGTATTGCGCAAGGAGTTCATGGAGGACAAGCGTCAATGCACGGTCACTGCCATAATGGAGGGTTACAATTCCTTCGTCACATACATGTTGTACGGAAGTGTAATGTTGGTTGCCAGCTGTTACATCGATTTCTTCCACCTAGACCCCCAGAGCGTCCTCCAGGTGTTCTTCACCCTGGTGTTTAGCTTGGGCGGTATCTCGCAAGGTATCACACAGTGGCAGGGAGACAAAGCAAAAGGCGCGCACGCTCTGAAACGTATCTTTAATACCCTAGACCGCACGCCGCGCATCGACGCATACGACGAGGGCGGCCTTCGCCTCGAGAAGGTTGAGGGTGCCATCGGCTTCAGCCACGTTCACTTCAGCTACCCCAGTCAGCCGCACGTCAAGGTCTTTGTCGACTTCGACCTCGCCATAGAGGCTGGGAAGCGCGTCGCTTTCGTAGGACCGTCTGGTTCTGGGAAGAGCACGACGATAAGACTGCTGCAGCGCTTTTATGACCCTGCCGCCGGCTGTGTCACGTTTGACGGGCATGATATTCGCTCGCTGAACCTGCAGTGGCTTCGGTCGGTGATGTCGCTGGTGCAGCAGGAGCCGGTCCTCTTCGCGGGGAGCGTGCTGGACAACATCAAATACGGCCGGGAGGGCGCGACCGACGACGATGCGATCGCGGCCGCCAAGGACGCGAACGCCCACGACTTCATTACCAAGTTCGAGGACTGTAAAGCTGCGGCTTGCGCACGGACGGGTCCCCCAGGTACAGGGGGCCACGTGCGAACCCCACCCCCACCCCCCACGATTTCTGAGGGGGAGGGTGGGGGGGGTCGCTCCGTTCGGGAGCTCCCGAGCGAAGTGAACCCCACCCTCCCACGCAGAAATCGTGGGGGGTGGGGGTTTGGGGGGCGGAAGGATACGGATACGTGTTGTCCCCGGACCTCTCTTGGGGTGCGTTTTGACCAGAATTTCGAGGCGAATCCAGCGGTGACAACGAGGATTCCCCAGGAGGACCAAGAAAGGCCGAAAACGAAGGGGGACAACACGTATCCGTATCTTTTTGTCCCTCGAGGGGTGGGGTTCGCATGTGGCCCGCTGAGGTGGTCCCCGCTGGCCTCCACAGGTCTCCCGAGTAGCCTGGGGCGATCTCCGCACCCCGACCCGGAGCGCGAAGCGCCCCAGAGGCGCCGCCGGAGGCGGCGCCAGGGTGTCGAGACCGCCCTGGGCGACGCGGGGGGCCTGTGGAGGCCAGCCGAGACTACCCACCCTGGGAGGGGTGAGGAGGAGGAGGAGCCGAGACTACCCACCCTGGGAGGGGTGAGGAGGAGGAGGAGGAGGAGGAGGAGGAGAGGAGGAGGAGAGGAGGAGGAGGAGGAGGGAGGAGGAGGAGGGAGGGAGGAGAGAGGAGGAGGAGGAGGAGGAGAGGAGGAGGAGGAAGAGGAGGAGGAGGAGGAGGACAAGCTAGGTGCGCTCGCGTCATATCTGACATCCTACCCCTCCCTCCCATCCCTTACCATGGCGCAGATCCTCTCTACTCGCACAGTCGGATGTCGAGCAGGGCAATGATCCCGAAAGGGTACGCGATGCATTGTAGAGCACGGCATGGCATGGCGTAGAAGAGCACCGCAAAGCGTAGTATCAACCTAGCATTGCATTGCATGCCGTGGCATGGCACGGGAAATGACGCCAGCGCTGCAGCGGGAGCACGAGTCGAAACGAGCGGAAGCGCGGAAATGAGGCCAGCGCTGCAGCGGGAGCACGATTCGGAACGAGCGGAAGCACGGAAATGAGGCCAGCGCTGCAGCGGGAGCACGATTCGGAACGAGCGGGGCCCGAAAATGAGGCCGGCGCCTCAGCGAGAGCAGCATTTTGGAAAACAATGCAGGCGAAAACCCAACTCCGGGGAAACCTGTGTGTAAAAAACAGTACGCGGGGGGGGTCGGACACTTTCAAACCGTCATCAGGGGAAGAGGGAGTGTAGTATTCATATTGAGTAATTGTGGAGGAGGAGGAGGAGGAGGAGGAGGAGGAGGAGGAGGAGGAGGAGGAGGAGGAGGAGAGGGCGGAGGAGGAGGAGGAGGAGGAGGAGGAGGAGGAGGAGGCTGTGCGCAACCCGAAGCCTTACCATTCGAGGACCAGTACCAGACGTCCGTAGGCGAGCGGGGGGCGCAGCTGAGCGGGGGCCAGAAGCAGCGGGTGGCCATCGCGCGCTGCATGGTCCGGCGGCCGCGCGTGCTGCTGCTGGACGAGGCCACCAGCGCGCTGGACACGGAGAGCGAGCGGGTGGTGCAGGAGGCGCTGGACGCGCTGCTGGACAAGGAGCAGCGCACCACGCTGGTCATCGCGCACCGGCTGTCGACCGTTCAGAGCTGCGACGCGATCTGCGTGGTGTATCAGGGCAGTCGGGGGCAACGTTTAGGGGGAGATCGGCACAAGGGTTAAGTCGGGCGCGTCCCCTTACAGGGGGATTTTCGACGAAAAATGAAGAATACCCCAAAAATACCCCAAAAAGGTCAAAACATATTAAAAAAATTGTCCTCCACAGACTATTTTTGGATTATTTTTGGTGTATTTTTTAATCTTTCGTCGAAAATCCCCCTCAGGGGGACAGGCCCGACCTAACACAAGGGGGGGTCGCATCAACCCCCACTCACCCACCCGTCGCCGACAGGGGCCTGATGGCCCACCGCGTCCAGCGACGTGCGGATTCGCTACCGGGGGCCGGTCGCTGACCTGTGGGCGATGCACCGCCGGCTACAGGCCGATGCTTCTTCACTTGTGCCGGCCCAGCCTGGTGGTTTTCGGGCCACAGTTCGGGCCGGAAGCGGCTGTTTGGGACGATCCGGGCACCCTTGGAACGCTCTCGGCGAGGCGCAGCCGCTGGAAGGCATCCCTGGAAGGCGGCCGAGAACCAAAGAAAACGTCCGAAAACCTCGAATGTAGAAACTTCCTAACTTCCCTAATGTTGTCCCCCCTTGCCGCTCAGGCAGGGTGGTCGAGAAGGGCACCCACCAGGAGCTTATGCGGATCCCAGGGGGCCAGTACAAGCAGCTGGCGGCGAGGCAGCAGCTCTGACCGTTCGGAGCAGCCCAGCTGGGCACTGTAGGCAAACATATACAGGCTCGAGTGTAGCTTTTTGGGTTCAGCTCGTGATATTCATCGTTTGCGCACAGCTGCTTGTCTCAGGGGAGGGCCAGTTGAGATGTCGGTACTTGGCCCTTCGGGGGGGTCGGGGGGGGGCCCTCGTCGCCACGGCAGGACGCAGCTCGGACAATTGGTGGATTCTGGACCCCAGGAGGGCTCCGGGAACCGATTTTGAGCTGCCGTTTCGCCTCGACTTGCCCTCCTCCGCCTGCCTGCGCTGCCCTGGCTGCCTCGGCCTCCCCTCAGGGGCGCTCCTCCTCCGCCTCCTCCTCCTCCTCCTCCTCCTCCTCCTCCTCCTCCTCCTCCTCCTCCTCCTCCTCCTCCTCCTCTCCTCCTCCTCCTCCTCCTCCTCCTCTCAGAGGCGCTGGCAAGGGGAGAGCTGGCCCAGGGGAGGAAGCATCGATCGACCCCCCGATCGCCCCCAGCCCCGCCGATCGGGGCCCGGGTGCCGCAGCGTGTCCAGGAGCGCGGCGTGTCCCTATCTGGGGCCCACCGCCGATCTATCGGCAATGTATCGTCGATTCTGGGTTGCCGTTTCCCTTCCTTGCGCCAGTCCCCCCCTCCTTCTATCGGCTCGCCTCCTCCCTCCCGTCGCGCTGTTCGCTGGCCACTCGCCTCTGCCCTCCGCCGCTCTCCCGGGGCCGCAATCAGCCGGCCCCGCGCGCCCTGGCCGGCTTGCCACGGTCAATTCACTTTTGTCCTCCCCCTCCCTCCTCGTCCTCTCCTCCCCCCCCCTCCATCCTCCCCCCCTCCTGCTCCTCTGTTGTCCTCCCCCTCGCCTCACCCTCCTCCCACTCTGACGCCCCCCCCTCCTCCTCCTCCTCCTCCTCCTCCTCCTGCTCCTGCTCCTGCTCCTGCTCATACTCCTCCTCCTCCTCCGCCTCCTCCTCCTCGCTGCTTCTCGTCGTCCTCACCCTCGTCGGCCTCCATCTGTTTTCCTTATGCATTGCTCCTCCCAGTCGCACGCCAAAGCGTGTCATAGAGCGGGCTGGGCTTTCCGCGTGAGACTTCTTCGCCTCTCCTGAACCTGAAGCCTAAAAAGTTTCAAGCAATTGAAGGATGGAGTGCAGGTGGTTCTCCAAATGTGGTTTCCGCTTCAGCGACGCGCGCCTTCGCTGGAACAATTGGAAGGATGGAGGGCGGATGGTTTTCAAATTGTGGCTCTCGCCTTAGTGCCACGCGCACCCGTCTGAACAGTTTGCAATACCTTGAAGGATGGAGGGCAGTTCTGTTTGAGAATGCAGCCCTCGGCTTGGCGCCGCGCGCATTCGTCTTCAAAGCTCGCAGCTGTTGCAAGGGTTTCTTAGGGTTGCAGTCCGACGGGTGGTGTTATGGCCGGATGTAGCATTGTCGGGCCGCAACAGCCACGTGGATTCGTGGTGCTGAAGTCCCAAGAAAGGTTCTCCGGTGCGGTTTAGGAGTGTCGGAGCGCACCAGTCACGTTGACTCGCGGCGTTGAAGTCCCAGGGATGGTGCTTTGGCACGATTGTCGATTCTCGGAGCTTTGTCCCTCAACGGGACACTTCCCGCAATGCAAACAGATTCGTGTAGAAACCGGATTCTGGAGAGGGAACTTGGAGTGAGGGTTCAATGCAATATCGTTGATGCGTTTTGGGTTTGCACTGGTCCTTCTCCTCCTCCTCCTCCTCCTCCTCCTCCTCCTCCTCCTCCTCATCCTCCTTTTCCTCCTTCTTCTGCACCATGACCATCCGCCTTAATTAAATCATCCATCCCCTCCTAGTTCCTAATATCACACACCTTCCTCGTTGTTCTCCTCAATATCCTCCCATTCTTTCGCCCCTTACCACAGCCTGCTCCTCCTCGTCTTCCTCCCCCTATCATCCTCAGAATCAGAGCGTCTCCCCCTCCTCCTCCCCCCTCCTCGCCCGGTCCGCCCGCTCCTCCCTCCCTCGCTCCTCCCCCCCCCCGCTCCCCCATCGCCCCTCCGTCCGCCCCTTGCTCCCCTCTCCTCTCTCCCGGCCCCCCTCCACCCCCCCCCCCTGTGACGCCGCCCCCCCTTTGCAGCAGGGCGTGGCGGCCCCCCTCTCACCCCCGCCGCGCGCCGCCGCGACAGAGCGGGCAGGTCGCAAGCGGGGCGCGCGCGCGCCGCGAAGCGGCCCTGCCCGCACATGGCGGGCGCGCCCCTCGGCCGCTGCCCGAGGGGGCAGGGGCGGTGGCGTGCGGCGTGGGCCTCGCGAGGAAAAGGAGGCGGAGGACACGAAGAGGAGGCGGAGGAGGAGGAGGAGGAGGAGGGAGAGGAGGACGAGGCGGAAACTGAGGAGGAGGAGGAGGAGGAGAAGAGGAGGAGGAACCGAGGGGAGGAACGGAGGAGGAGGAAGGTGAGGAGGAGGAGGAGAAGGATGAGGAGGACCGGAGGAGGAGGAGGAAACGAAGAGGAGGAAACGGAGAGGAGGAGGAGGAGGAGGAGAGGATACGTTAGGAGGAGGAGGCGGAGGAGGAGGAGGAGGGAAGGGGATGAATAGGAGGAGGAGGAGGGGAGGAGGAGGAGGGAGGAGGAGGAGGAGGAGGAGGAGGAGGAGGAGGAGAAGAAGAGAGGGGAGACGATGAGGAGGAGGAGAATGAGGAGGAGGAGGAGGAGGAGGAGGAGGAGGAAACGGAGGAGAAGGCGGGACAGAGAAGGAGGACGAGGAGGACGAGGATGAGGATGCTGAGGATGATGCTGATGATAATCAGTATAATGCGGATGATGATGTTGTGATGATGATGCTGACGACGATGATTGTGATCATGATGATGATGCTGCTGATGCTGATGCTGATGCTGATGCTGATGCTGATGCTGATGCTGATGCTGATGATGCGATGGTGACGATGATGCTGATGTTGCTGCTGCTGAGAATGATGATGATGATGATGATGATGATGATGATGATGATGATGATGATGATGATGATGATGGTGATGATGATGATGATGAGGTTGATGATGACGATGCTGATGCTGATGCTGCTGCTGATGATGATGGTGGTGTTGGTGATGATGTTGAAGCTGATGCTGCTGATGATTATGACGATACCGATGATGCTGTTAACGATGCTAGTGGTGATGATGCTGATGATGCTGATGGTAACGATGTTGACGATGGTGATTATGATGATGACGAGTCTACTGATGGTGCTGATGATGTTGATGATGAAGAGAACTCTGGTGGTGCTGGTGATGATCATGTTGCTGATGACGATGTTGACGATGGTGGCGACGATGCCGATGCGGATGCTGATGACGCTGATGGTGCTGATGGTGTTGCGTTTGACATTGATGAGTATGATGATGATGGTGTTGATTATGCTGATGATGCTGATGATTAGTATGCTGATGTTGATGTTGATGATGTTGATAATGATGTCGGTGATGATGATGCTGATGCTGACGTGGATGCTGATGATGCTGATGTTGATGCTGGTGGTGATGAGGATGATGGTGCTGACGATGTTGACGATGATGATGATGATGATGATGATGATGATGATGCTGATGATCATGATGATGATGATGGTACCGATGATGATGATGATGATGATGATGATGATGATGATGATGATGATGATGATGATGATGATGCTGATGCTGATGCTGATGCTGATGCTGATGCTGATGCTGATGCTGGTGATGATAGTGATGATGATGATAATGATGGGGATGCGGATGACGATGATTACGTTGATGCCGATGCGGTTGCTGATGATAATGATGATGGTGACGATGCTGGTACTGATGATGTTGATGTTGATGATGATGCTGATGATGACGCTGATGGTGAATTAAGCTGATGAGAATGCTGATGCGGCGGATGGTGATGACGATGGTGATGATGGAGATGGTTGTGATGCTGCGGATGATGATGCTGATTATGATGATGCTGATGTTGTTGATGATGGTGGTGATGATGCCGATGCTGCTAATGATGCTGATGCTGATACATGATCATGGTGATGGTGATGATGACGATGACGATGATGCTGATGGTGATGATGGGGTGCTGATGCTGCTGACGATGATGGTGCGGTTGATGACGATGATGCTGCTGATGATAATGATGCTGTTGTTGATGCTGCTGATGGTGATGTTGATGACGACGATGTGGAGGATGCGGATGAGGCGGAGGAGGAGGAGGAGGCGAAGGAGGAGCAGGATGATGTGTAGGAGCAGGCGGAGGAGGAGGCGGAGGAGGAGGAGCAGGACAAAGAAGCGTATGAATATGATGCTGCGGACGATGATGATGATGATGATGATGATGATGATGATGATGATGATGATGATGATGATGATGATGATGATGATGATGATGATGATGATGATGATGATGATGATGATGATGATGATGATGATGATGATGGTGATGGTGATGATGATGGTGATGGTGATGGTGATGGTGATGGTGATGATGATGATGATGATGATGATGATGATGATGATGATGATGATGATGGGATGA